GGTTAATTGGTAGAAACCAACCTCACTTTCTTAATTTAAAAAATAAGTTAATAAATTTCTAAATTACTAAAATTTGGTATGACTTTTGAAGTCAATAATTAATCAATTTAATACCCCTATTTTGATTTTCAAATAAAATTCAAATCATGAATTATGACCACCTAAAGCCTAACCTTTTCAAAACTAATTAAAATACTCACCTAAGTCTTAAAGGCTTAGTAGTGACTTAGGCTAAATCAAGTTTCATTTAAATAGGGATTTGAAAAGTAAACATCATTTAAAATTAAAACATCTTTCAGACACTACATGCCCAATTAGGACCAAAATTTGGCTAAGTGTTCTAACAACGCTAACTTGCATCTTTAAGGGTCTTCACCCACATAATTTTTAAATTGAATCACAAGTGATAATTACCCCATTCTTAAGATAACTGAGACATTAGTGTTCACTGAACATTAAGGGTATTTACAGGATGAATTATTAAGCAACATAATAAGTTTAAAAGAACTCGGGCCTTTCCACCATGCAGCGAGAAAGCAGCACGAACCTGCTTCTTTCTCTATATCTGTTGGATACCTCGGAGATCTACTAAACTTAATATATTTCGCTTGATAAAATCATCCTTAATTGATCAAATAGGGACCCACCAAGATATGACCTAGGGTTAGGTAGGTCGCCAAAATTTTACTTCCCTGTTTCTCATCAAAATTTTACTTCCCCGTTTTATATAAACTACCTTAACATGTCTTTTGAGTTTCAGATGGTGGAACGATAAGACTCGCCAGGTATGCTTTTTAAGTTTTCAACGTTGTCTTTCTTGTACTTTCATATTGTACTTTTATCCCTGCAAACTTGCATGCTAAATAATCAGCCGTTCTGTAAGTTAATTTAATTTTGAAGAAAAAGGAAGCAAAAAAAAGATGTAATTTAGAGTTAAAATGACATTTTTCAAGAAATACTCAGCGCCGACGGCATAAACTTATCAGCGCCGACGGCATAAACTTATAGAACGGCTGATGGATTTCACTCAGCGAAATTAAATACAATATGACATGATTGTTTAGCATGCAAGTTTGCAACATGAAAACTAAAACCAAAACCAAAACCAAAACTAAAACTAAAATCAAACAAGATAAAATTCACCGCCACAACATTCAAAATATAAATATAAAACAACTCAAAATTTAATCACAAACTTCACAAAACAACAATTGCAACTAAATTAAACGTCTTTATTCGAATAATCAGGAATCTCTCGGAGGAGGTAACCTACGGTTGCTAACGAGGCTTCTCACGGTCTAAAAGAAATTATGGAAATTATTAAGTTGAGTTTAGTAAATTCATTTGGACTAAGTGAATCCAATAAAAAATAGTGGTGCCTGAATGCGGGAACCGTAGGATCCTAACTGGTGTCGCTCTAATCAACTTTAACATGCTCCCATAAAATTTAAAGAATTTCAACCATAGGGCCACCTGATTTGACATTATAACTTGACACACTAGAAAACTCAAACTCGTCGCGGCAACAAGCTTGGAGCTAGTACGGTGGGTAGCACGGCCATCTTAAACAACAAAACATGTCTTCCCCATCTAAACCAATCTGCCTTTCTTAGACTTAAACAATAAAGTCATAGGACTTTGAGGTTGTGTGCTCATGCAACGTAAATCCTCACCTTAAATCCTCACCTTATCTTTAGCCTGCTATACAATATAAGCCCTAACTCGTCTTAAGATTCCGAGGTTGTCGTTTGTCATGACCTAAATCCTTCGTCACGACCTAAACCCTCAAATCTTCCAGGCTATTTGTGTGATCGATGTGACCGTTTCACACGAATGTAAGCCCTAACTAACAAAATTGATAGGATGAAACACCTAAATATTTCTTCTCAAAATTAAAGCCAAATATTAAGATAGCTTGGGAAGTCACCGGGGTTCTCCTCTGGATCCATGACATCCCCTAGTTCTTCCTTCTTTGGATTCTACTATAAAATATTCCAAATTTGAACCAATCCCCTTTCATACCTCTACGTTTGATCTCATTGAAAAGTCCTACCCTTTGAAATTCCTTGAAGATTATATTTTCTGATTTTTATCGAGAGTCTTCTTAGGTGAATTTGATCATTTAAGATGTAATTAACTATAGGGGCTTGCTCTTATAGGAAACATGTCCGAACCCAGCTTAACATAAACCCTATTTAATTTTTTATATTAAATAGGAGAACTTGTCGGCAAATACAAATGTTTCACAGACCAAACGGATATCATATATTCCTTTGTTTATTTGATCGAGCCTCATCCTCAAGTCTTGTGTTTATCCTTCGGGATAGATACAAGATTTGAGGTGCAACAATTTGAGGTACATCACTCTTTCATTTAAACTATGAAAAATATGGGGTCAGTTTGATATCATATTTTTCTAAACTAAATATATATGTAAATTAAAACGTCCTTTCGTTCGATTCCGGTGACCGACAGCTTCTTACGGGCAACTCCCCCCAAACCAAAATAGCGTTGACGACTGTTTTCTGAGATGTCTCTTCCATTGCTCTTTTCTCTAGTTTTGTGGCTCGTGATGCTTTTTGAGCAATTTTTTTGTCAAAGTCACTTATGGCTCTTTGGTTAATTTGTTGTGCCATGGTTTTCTATATTACAGCTTCTGCTCTCTTACATTCTAATTGATTCTTGTGTTTCTTTTTTTATGGTATTCATCTTTCATCTCTGTTTTGGTTTTTGCTTTGGGCGCCTTTCTCTCTTTGGGTCCTTAGTGGTTGCTTGAAACACTTTTTTCCTTGCCACGACTATTGTATGTGGCAGAGTGCTTCTCATGAATCTAATGGGCACCCAAATTTTTGTCACTATAACTATGGTTTAAATTTTTATTTGGTTACATTTTTCTCTTTGTTTTAGTTTATGTATGTCTCTACTTGGGTCTAACTGCATGTAGTTTTATCCCTATCTCTACTCAGCCTTCGTGTTTAGGAGTAATGCGAGGATGGTTCAAAGCCCTCATTCCAATGATTTTTCCACTTAGGATGGAGGATTGATCCTACTACAATTATTCTCCCTATGTGGTTTTCTACTTTATTGTTTTAAAATTTTCTTATTTTTCTTTAGCCTTGTTTCTTTCTTTCTTTCCTTACATTACAATTCTAGCCATAGGGTTATTCAAAAATCATTTACTTATCCAGTTTAATCTCATCCCTTTGCTTGGTTAATTTAACGATTTTGAATGACATTCTTGGTCATAATTTTTTTTTGACCTACCATTCATTAAAATCTTACTTAATTGCTCCATCCGATGTTGGATGCTCTCATATCCTTTGTCCTTCTTATTATCCCTTTATTTTGCCTACTAACCTTTTGTTTAAGTGATTGTTATCTATTTTTCATATGTTGCACGTTGGTGTTCTCTTTCTTTGGTTGACTTTCTTTTTGATTGCCCTTCACTATCCGTACATCATCGTTGTTGTTTGGTGTGTTCTTTTGTTTCTTGGGTGTTATATATATATATATA